TCCTTGCCTCCAAGGATCAGCCTGGTTTAACCCTCTCTAGGATAAACTTGTTTATTTTCTTAGCAGTCCATGGTATATTCAGTACTCTTTTGCAACACCATCACTCAAAAGTGTCAACAAATATGTCTGTCCTAGAGAGGACGAAACCAGCTTGCTCCTTAAGGTTTAAGATTTTGAAACTCCATCTCATGTACTTTGGGCAAGTTGTCAGGAGGGACCAGTTCTTGGAGAAGAAAATCATATTTGGAAGGGAAGAGACTCAGCACAGACGAGTAAGTCCTTGATGAGATGAACTTACACAATGACTGTACACAGTGAGGGTCAGGTGTGTCTGAGACAAGGAGGTTGGCTAAGGATAGGGTAAGGTAAAGAGCCGTTGTTCATAGGTTTGTTGTAAGTCTTATCTGGTTCAATGTCACATAATAAGAAGATAGGCAAAATATTTAATAATGCAGGAAGCATGAGAAGAAAATGAAAGGAATATTCAGTGAAATGGTACCAAAACGAATTGGTTGAAATGGAACCAATTATACAACATTAGAAAGCCTATTATAAAGAACCAGTGGTGATAAAGTAAGGTCAAACTACACTGGAGGAATAGGAAAAAAGAATTTTGGGGAGGAATTGAAAGACTATCATTTGAGTGTTTCAACAAACAAATGCAGCCCTGGGTATGATCACTAGTCTAAGTCAAGAAATTGAGAAGACAGCTAGCTGCCAATAGATTGAAAGACATCTATATTTCTTTCTTTGACCAAAAAAAAATATGATCATACAACAAAATGCACAAATTATTGTATAGCTGCATTATTATCACCTCAATTGGCACAAATGGCTGTAGCACTGACAGGGTAGGTGATGTAGATAGTATTTTAGAAGACAAACTAGACATTTATTGTCACTCTAGCAAATCTCTGTCTTTTGCTGCTATCGAGGCCATACTGAGAGGTTTTTACTTTGATTACTGAGTTGAATTATTTTAAATTTAAGCTATTGCTTTGATTTCATACATAGTGCAGCCAATAAGTCAATTATATAATAAAGGTAAGTAAGACAATTAATAAATTATAGGAGAATAGGTATTTGTGAGGATTATAAATGTATTGCCTCATTCAACAATACTTATTGGCAGTGATTACACTATCTACTCTCATTTCAGATGACTTAATTGTTCTTAGGAGTAAGATATATACGTGTAATAATTACATAAAGCACCAATTATCTTCTTATGGATTTTAATCTAGCACATTCTTCTTTAATGGTTTCTTGTCAGAATACTCACGTTTTATTCTAGAACTAATAAAACCATAATGTCAAGTGTTTAGAATGAAATAGCAATTCTCAAACTGTAGATATTATACTTACTTCTTCCCTTTCACCACTTCATAGGAATTAGTGTATTTCCTCTTGTTAGCAAAGAGTTCTACCACTTCAGGTACATATTTTGCAAATAGTATCTAAAATAATCAGCAAACAAGACTTAATTCTTTCTATATTGAAGTATATATAATTATATCTTATGTAAGAGAGACATGATTATTATTTGCTTTTTTAAAAGGGAAAACTTGTTTTCATTTCCTTAATCTGTAGATTTGGTTCTAATTTAATAAATAGTTTAAAGCATTCAGAATGACAAAAGAAAAAACAAGCATCAAAACAGCTTTTATACCAAATTTGTTTATCTCTTCAATTCTAACTCCCCTGATGGCATGTTGAATTTATATTATACTCCCCAAAAGAGTAGAAGAGCATTAAGGTGAACTAATTAAAATGAGGTTGTGGGCAGAAGTATATTAGAACTTTAGCGTGAAGAAGTCTGTTATACATTTTGAAGAACTGAGATTAAAGTCATCAAAATAATGTGTCTTTGGACTTAGCTACACTTTTAGACCAAGTGTAGATAGATGCTCATTCAGCTCAAGTAAGATAGTGCTTTGTTGGAAGCTAACTCATTATGCAAATGGAAAAATAGAACTTTCTTCAGATAAAATCTCAGATATTCTTCCTCTTTAGAATAGAATTTTATCTGATGGGCTAACGATGAAAGCAAATAGAGTTATTCAAATCTATTTAGAGGCTACTAAGGACTGTCTGTTTACTTTTGTCTACCATTCTTCCTCCCTGGAGCTATGAAATTGCATCATATGCTCCAAAGAATGAGGTTTAAACAATATGGACTCTCAGTTGAATGATTCTTTCCTCTGTGTAATGTAACATATTTTCTGAAACAGATTTTTTTTTTAATTTTTCAACTACTAGTTATTGGGTGGGTTTTTTTCCCCATTTATGGAGTTATATTTAAAGTAATATTAAAAACACTCTTTACCAAACTTGCAAAGGTTAGGAAGATGAGGAAGGCACGTCCCAGGAATGTCTTGGCTACCACATCTCCAAAGCCAACAGTTGAAGTTGTTGCCACAATCAGATAAATTGAGTCAAAGTATGATAAATTCTGTGAATTTCTGCCTTTGAGCCAAGGATCACCAGAGTTTTCCACCTGTCCAAAGAGAGAAGATACAGGAAAATCTTTGGGATTGAAAGTTTTTGTTGGTTTGTTTTGTTGTTTGGTTGGAGTTTTTTCTTGTTAGGTAGGTTTTTTTGTTCCTTTCTTTCTTTCTTTTTTTTTTTTTAAATAGACACTATATTGTATTCATTCAGTAATTCTCAGAATGCACTGTTGTGAGATATTTTCACAGTCTATATATGATTATGAAGTCTTGAGCTCTTAATTGTCATTATTGCCAAAGTGTAGAGAACACGCGGCTAAAGCTGGAAAAATTCACATGGAAATGGCAATCTCTATCTTTTAGGTACGTGGGCGCTTCATCATCTCCTGGCGCCACAGACAACAAGATTTTAAATGAGCAATTATCTTTCATCAATATGTTTTTTACCCAATTTTTATCATTAAAGAAAGTCAAACTTGAATGATATTTTATTTCAGTTACAGTAAGCACATGGATGCTGGTGTCCAGGGAAAGGTAGATAAACAAACCGGAAAGAAATTTTCCAAATTATTACTCACATCTCATAAAAAAATTAGTGACTTCAAAAATTATTTTTTCCTTTCTTTTATTGGTTTGCTTACAAAGTTTGTATACATTGTGTTTCTCAATATTCTTTATTCATGTGATGTTTAATATAATAATTCACATGCATTATGGTTTGTATAATTAATCACCATTGGACCTTACGTATCATTACCCTATGTTGTCATCACATTTCAAGAATTTTTAGATTTTCCTGTAGTTAAGCAAAGTAGAAGGCTACTAATATTTATGACTATGTCTATTTTAAACTTACTGTTAAAAACGGAAGTTATTATTGTTAGGTGCCATTGAGTCAAGTATAACTCATAGCAACCCTATGAAAACAGATTTTAATCCTGTCCTGGCCTGTGCCATCTTCATACACTCTAACACAATCAGGTCCATTCCTGCACTCGCTGTGTCAATCCACCTGGTTGAGAGTCTTCCTCTCCTTCACCTTCCCTTCACTTTTCTAGGCATGGTATTCACCAAGGAATATCCTCACCTAGCAACGTGCCTACTCAAAGTAGGTTAGACGAAGCGTTATCATCTGTGCCTCCAAGAAGTATTTTGACTTCACTTTCTCCAAGATATGTATTTATAGAATTAGAAATGAAATAATTTGGTCAGATATTGCATTACTTGTAGCAGAGATATGAAAACACTGACTCTTCCTAAAAGTTCAGTAAGTGGGTTAATAAAGCAACATTTTATAAGACCTCACCCCAAAATAATAAAAATATTATATGTTTACATAAGCTTTTAAAAAACATTATAATTTGACTGAAAGTTTACAGAGCATGATTTTACATTTGAACATTCATATATAGAGGAAGTTTGTTTTACATTCAAATACATTTACATATATTTTGTTTTATGCCATTAATTACAGTACCCACTGTAACCCCACTATTCCTGCTTTTACACCTGCATCTTTTCTTTCTTTTAGTGATATTATGTCAGCCCTCTTATTGTATATGGCATTTTCCTTCAACAATTTTAAGTTGTATCTGTTCTATATTTATTATTTTCTCCCTTCTTCTTCCTCTTCTCTCTATGGTAACTACCAATATTTCTTTCTGTGCATAAAATTTTCTCAAGATTTTATAATAGTGGAGTCACACGATATTTGTCCTTTTGCAACTGACTTGTACTAACTCCTACGGTTGTTAGTAGGAGAAAAGAATTCAAAATATACTATATCACATGGAAGAGGCTAGAGAGCATTGTTCTGAGTGAACTAACTCAGTCTCATAAGGACAAATACTGTATAAATTCATTATTGTAAAAATAGAAGGATAACTAGCAAGATGCAGATAAATTGCCAGAAAGGGAAGGGATAGAGAGATGGGGAATGAGGATGGGGGGGGTGGGATCACTGAGACAATAAAATTGAATTTTTTTTTTTTGAGTACACTAATCATCTTTCTCTGACCTCTGTACACTTAATTGAAACTCCATATTGTTGTTTATAATATCCCAGCGTGGGGATATGACTGCCTACATTAATCTTGAGTATTTAATTATAACTACTTTTTATAACTGCTTCTCATTTTTTACTTAGTTTTAGTTCATGTAGCTATGTAGCTGAACTTAATCTGTAAGGTATGCTTTTAAAAGACACACAGATGCTATTTCCCAATGTGTGCTTAAACCTGCTGGTAAATTGCACTCACTTTCAACAAACTTTGCAGACACTGGTCTTTCATCTCTTGGTATTGATTTATGCACAGAAATCCAGGTGAGGCTAGTTCCTTTCTCCCCCCTTGTGTGGAATTTGCTTTGTTGTTCCTGGATTCTTTCAGTACCTTCGGAATGCAATAACTTCTTCAAAGTACAGTTTGAATTTACAATCCAGGGTCATTTTTTTCTTAGAATCTTGAAGGTACTTTAATCTACACACTCAGATTGTATCTTTCAGCTCCTTTCAATTTTGCAAAGGTTTAACAATCTCTTTAAAACCTTATATATCTTATTTTTATTATCATTTCACATTTTAATTTCAAACTTTATTTGGATTTCTTCAAATATGGAGACTTTTTCTGTTACTTTGAACATATTGTTTTGTAAATCTCCTTATAACTTGTATCATGTACCTTTTTCTACACTTATATCTCAGCTTTTCACTACAATTCTTGCTATTTTGACAAAGCTTAAGTATTTTATTCCTTTCTGGTTAATTTTCATTGATTCCTTTCAGGTTAATACTGATCTTTGTATGATGTCAACTTCAAGCTGGAGGAAAATGTGAGAAAAGGTAATAACCTCATTAGGAAAAACATGTTTTTAACTTTGGTTTGTCCTTCCTAATAGTTTCTCAAGATGAACCTAGAAATTTCTTTTTTTTTTTTTTACTATGAAAGCAACTCCATTTTTCCTCACCTTTTCATCTCCAGAATAATATATCATATGATCATCTGACTCAAAATGCCCCATGCCAATCCATCTCATCTCTCCAATGTCAATATTTATGC